GGGCGCCGAGTCCGTTGAGTCGTCTGAGTCAGGCGTTTTCGGGCGGCGACAGGGACCTGGTATCCGTGCAGGTGCGGCGGCGCCTGCTGGGATTCGAACGCGTTTTCGCGCACGGGTGGCGAGTGACGGAACTGGACGTCAAGTCGCGAGTGGCCGTGCCACGGCTGTCCGGCTTCATGCTGGTGAACCATAGCAGTCTGCCACTCTGCATTTGCAACGAAGCCAAACGTGCCAAACTCACACGCCCTAAACAAGACTGGGGCCACATCTCCGGCACTGCCGCCAGCCTCTTGCGCCTCAACGCACCTGCCCTGGACAACCCCGCCCGCAGCGGTAGCGCAGCCGGCGACGCGGCCGCCCCCTCGCCCTCGTTCGTCTCCCGACTCTTCCGCTCGCGATCTCTCGCTTCCGTCGATTCCGAGGGCACCAACAACTCCGAGGCCTCGGGCGTGTGGCGGAGCCTCACCGCCGGGCTCAGTTCCGGTCTACAGGGTCTTGGTTCTAATCCGACCGGTGCCCAGCCGTTGACCGTTCAGCGGTCGGGCGGGATAGCGAGCTGCACCGAAATCTACGCAGTACCTCCGCCGGACGTCGAGCTCGGGATCCGCTACGATACAGGCGAGGTGCTGTGCGAAACTGTCCATGTGGAACCGTTCAATCAAATCCGAGAGGTGCTGACGCTTCGTACGGTGACCGCGCCGACGAAGTTGTTCGGTCGCCGCTGGCTGAACCGCAGTATGCAGCTCCTAGTCACCGTCACCTTCCTCGGCAGTTACACCCACGTGGTCGTCGACGACTTCACCGCTGTGCAGCCGTCGGAATCGAATCTCGGCCCTGCGGCTACTGGGACCGCAGGTCCCCAGCCGTGGCTGGGGGCCGACAAAGCCTGTGGACCGATACCTTAGTATGAACGGGATCGTCTCCGTGCGAGTCGGAGATTTTGACGTCTTCGTGCCGTATCCGTCCGTCTCGGCCTGGCGCCAGGCGGGGCGGTTCGGGCTCGATTTAAGGTTGCTTGAGAACACGCGTGTGGCGTGGAAGAGTCACCACGTCACGACGCTGAAACACACCTCGGCGACTGGGTCCAAGAGCTGTCCGGCGACGCCCACCCTTCGGCTCAAAAAGATTACGGCCCGCAAAACGGGTTGCCGTCAGGAAGCGACGAAAGGTATCGACACCGAGGGAGCGGAACGATGGACCAGCGGATCGAGAGTCAATGACCTCTTTGTGGACGAGGAGGAGGACGACAACCGGCTGGCCTGTAGACTTGGATCTGGCGGCCGGTCTGACAATCGTTCTGTGGATCGCTCTGACGGTCGGTCTGTATCCTTTTTCCCAGATGTGGCAGAGGACGAGGCGGAAGAGGACGAGGCGGAAGAGGACGAGGCGGAAGAGGACGAGGCGGAAGAAAGAGACGAGATTCGAGGGTGCGCTGTGATGACTGACGCTCAGCGTCCTCGGTCTTCGCCCGCTAGCAATTGGCCAGGGCTGTTTGTCGGTGACGATTCGATCCGTCGTCTGTCGCGAATGAGTACCGCGACAGTTCCGGGGTTGCTCAGAAATGGAGGAGGGGTGTTAGTTATGGCGAGGGAGAAGTGGCTTGCCACGTACAAAGCGTGGGCTGTCTTCAGACACTTCCGCTCGGAACAGTCCGGGCAGTGTTTCAAAGGGTACACGTGTCGGTGGGTCTCATTCAGCAACGTTACGAGTGGGGGGCCATGCAAACCTTACGGGAACACCTAGGAGATATTCTAGCACGTGGTCGTGAACTGATGAAAGGCTCGACACAAACGCACGAGGAAAAAACGACCTACACTCTCGGTCAACAGGATGTTGCCATCTTCCTACAAAACGTCTCTATAGATCCCATCTTGGTCGAAGCCTTCGGCCTCTTCACCAAACGGTTCAAAAACTTCTCAGTCACTCACATGACCGAGCCCGAAGTCATTTGGAACATGCTAAAAGAGCACTTCCGCCCTTACTAACGAACGGCCTTTAGTTTTCACTCAGCCTTTTCGCCCAGAAAAGACCACTAACCAGGCCTTTAGCTTTCGTCATCGTCGTCGTCGTCGTCGTCGTCGTCGTCGTCGTCGTCGTCGCACTCTGACGCAAACAGCAGGTAGGTGCTTGTGGCTAGAGACCTCTTCAGCTTTGTCGACTAAACATTGGTTGGTGTGGAAGCCATGAGTTGGTGTAGGGAACTCACGGCGTGCGGGGGTGACTGCAGCACAAAGCCTTGTGAGGCTGAAAAAGTTCCCTTTTCTCTCCCTGCTGAGCTAGTCGAACCTTTCACGACCATACCCGAAAACCTTCTCCCAGATGTCAAAGAACTGCTGTTCCCAGAACCGCTTCAAATCAACCATATCTGCAGAAACAACTAGACCGAGGCGCTTTCCGGGGGAAGGGAAACTACGAAGACCCCGGGGGAAGACCCCGGGGAAAGACACCGTGGGGAGGGGAAGGGGGGGGGTACTTCGCTCGTCGTCTATGTGTACGCTCAGTTCGCACGTATCTGTTCGTCCGTTCCAGTCGTTGAATTCGAGAGTGAGTGACACAGACTTTTCGGTCTCCGGCCACTCGGCCAGGTGCAAGCTCATCTTCAGCTTCCTATTCGCCTCAATTTCCTCGAAGTGCCCCTTGACCTGGTTATCGAACCACCGGAAGGGCCCGCCCACTCTAAAGTCGACCACGGCCGGCCGGCCCAGTCCCTGACGCAGCATGCTGGTCGAGGACGTGAACGGCTCGTAGATGACGCGCGCGGGGACGTTGAAAACGGCCTTGAGGAGGAGCACCATGCCTACTTTTACTCACTGCAGTTTTACTCCCAAAAAATTGTCCCCGCATTCCCGGCACAGGTTAGAGCGCTGTGCTGATTGTGCACGAGCCCTGTGTTGGCCAGCCAGTACAGTAACTTGGGCTGCCTGAGCGCTGTGTAGGGGGCCAACTGTACTGGCCGCGGTCGCGATTTCGGCACCTGAAAATCTGGCACCCAGGCAAGTGGCACCCTCACGGAGTGATGAGTGAAGTTCGTAGTGCACGCTCGCCGCTGCAGCCGTCACCATTGGCGTTTGGGGATTACGGCATGGGTTCAGGGGGTCTGGAGGAGGAGAAGATTCACAGTCGTCGGTCGACAGCTTTGTTGTTGGTGAACGCGAGTGCCGGTCTGGAGGGGTGCGACGACCAGATGTTGCCGTCAAGTTTCCGTGCGTTGGAATGTGACCTCCATTTCACGCCGAAAATGCTGGGAAAGATCAGCATGGTCCAGTCGTTGGCAATGTCGCTATCGTGTCCTCTTTGGGGCTTCTGCAGCGACCGTCTTTCACGCCGCTATGTTCTAGGATTCGGCTGTTTGATGTGGGGTGTGACCACGACCATGCTGGCCTCCTCATCCACATACCAAGATATCCGATTGCTGCGCACACTTAACGGCATTTTCCTCGGTTGCATTGGACCCGTCTCGCAATCCGTACTGGCAGACTTCAGTCCAGGCGGGAAACGCGGGCTCACCTTCGGCCTCATCCAACTTTCGGCAAACCTCGGCCGCGTCTTCGGCGGCGTACTCACCACCGCCCTCGGCCGCGTCACCATGTTCACCGCACTCCCTTTGCTGGCTGGCAACGGAGTCCACGGCTGGCGAGTAATGATCGGCCTCGTAGGCCTCTTTTCCGTACTCCTTGGCCTCTGCATCACCAACTTCATGCCCCTTGGCACGCGCCAAAGAGTCAGCGCTCTCACGCTCGAAGAACAACAAATGATCGCCCGCTACCACCAACGTTATGGCACTAACTACGCCGACCATACCCTCCCCGTCGGGGGCACCGCACCCGTCGGGGCCACCCGAGCCATTGGGATAAGCGGGCCAGCAGTGGGCTCCGGACCGGGCACCCGACCCGTGGGCGGCCGCGTCGACGCCGTATACCCCACGGCTGGCAGCCACGGACTGAACTTTGTCCTCGACGTGGTCAAGTACTCCATGACACGCGCGTCCATCGTGCTCGTGGTCCTCGAAGGCTTCATCGGATCCATTCCCTGGTCCGGGCTCGCTTTCGTCACCATGTTCTACCAGTACTGTGGTCTCACGGACTTCGCCGCCGGCATAGCCAGCGGCATGCTGCTCGTGGGCGGCATGATAGGGGGCCCTGTTGGCGGCTTGATCGGCGATCACATCAGCCGGACCCGCTCGCCAAACCATGGACGCCCCCTCATGGCGCAAGTCTCCATGATTCTGCGCTTACCCATTGTCTTCATCTTGCTCAAACTCACGCCTCGGAGCCAAGGCTCCTTTGCTGCCTTCGCCGCTATGTCCTTCCTCCTCGGCCTCTCCTCCTTCGCCGGTGCCGCTGTTAACCGGCCAATCATGACCGAAGTCGTGCTACCCGAACACAGAGCCACCGCGTTCGCTATCGCCATCGCCATCGAAGGCGTATGCAGCGCCTTCTTCGGAGCTCCCCTCGTCGGCTGGCTCGCCGAGCACAGGTACGGCTATCATCCCACTGGCGAAGCCGTCGAAAAGCTGGACGAAGCTCACAGACAAAGGAACGCAGACAGCCTGGCCAACGCCATCTTCGTCGTCACCATTGTGCCCTGGTTCATTTCCCTCGTCCTCTACTCACTCCTCCATCTCACTTATGGACCCGACAAAAGAAAGAATGAGGTCATTTCCCGAGCCAGATCGCTCATTCGTGCAAATATCCCAGGTCTGAATCCGGACATGAGGAGCTCCAGCGTGAGAGATTTTCTGCACGAACGTTTAGCCACCTAACAGTAAAAATTTCAGTAAAAACATTTTGCATAAAACGCGTTCGCGTGTGCACGCGCGTGTGCGCGCGTGTCTGCGCGTTACCTCAATCGTCTCAATCACCCCAATTATCTTAACCGGCTCGATTCAGACTTGGGTACTTCCGGCGGCTTGATGTTTCTCCAGCTTTGCGTGGGAGCGGCGAAAGAGGGCAAATGAGCATCGTCCCAGTCCACGGCGAAATTGCGAGCTTTGGAGGAAGAGCCGTTTTCGGAGTCGGTTCGCCGCCCGCCGCCATCGGTTGGGCGCGGGCTCTCGCGCAGGGAAGCTGGCGCTCTGGATGTCGCAGCCGGGTGGCTCCGAGTCTGGCTCGGCGCCCTTACAGACACGGGCCGACTAGTCATGGGCACACCGCGGTTCGTCACAAATCCGCCCCCATAGCCCGAGCCGAACCCAGCGTAGCTGGACGCAGGCCCATGGCTTGAGGGAGGGCCGCGACTAGTCACGTACCCGCCGCGCATATTTTTAGAGGAGTAGGGTTCAGTGAATTGTTCAGTAGATTTCTTGCGGTTGTTCTTGGAAATAATTGACTCTGCCGTGATGTACTTCCACATCCGCGTAGCCTCGATGGCGGGGAGGTCTTCGTTGATGGTGGTCTTGACGCAGCTCATGAAGTCCCTTTCCGCATAATGGCTGTTGCCAAGTGCCTGATTTCCGGGTCTAATGTAGGCCATGAGGGCCTTGTAGCACAGGTCGGGGCCACAAGCCCTGATGCTGCGGAGAATCAGCTTTTCATCGCTACCAGAATCGGTTTTGGGTGGGAGTCGGTTGCTGGCGTTCCGTTGAGGAGCCGGCTTGAGTACTTGCTTTATTAGGTCGTAGCAGATGTGTTCCTTGTACGTCAGATCCGCCTTGAGCCAGTTGTGCCAAGTCTCTGGGTCGTTCAAGATCTGTTTAACAATCAGCGTTGGTGCGGCGTTGTGTGTTTTGATGTCGAAAACCCGGCATAGGGCTTCGTGCATATGTTCCGCGTCTTCTGCGTCACTGCGGTACAGGGACCAAACACTGCCGATGCGGTCAATCACGTCGTACTGACGCCGTAGGTACGCTACCTGGATGGCAGACATGCTCCACGTGTCGCGACTGACGACTAACTCCCGCGTCAATGAGAATGAAGGACCGACGGTCATGTGCAGGAAACGCAGCATTGAAACCAAAATATCCGTGTTTCCGTAAGCCGCAGCACAGAACACCGCTGACCGGCCACAGTTGTCTTTTTGCAGCAGCAAATCCGCATACGTAGCGCCCTTACCATCGGGGCCCGAGACCGGCCTTTCGGCACCAAGCCTTTCGGCACCCAGTTTTTCGGCGGGAGAGGACTGCAAAGGTAGCGGTGTCGTTCCATTCTCCTGTGAATCGTGTCTATCGGAATCGGCGAAGAAAGGAGCGCTTTTGGCAGAGTCCTTCGCTTCGTGGTAGGCTGAGTCCAGTTTAGTCAAACTGAAGTACTTGGCTGACTGAGGTAGGTTGTCCTGGCTGACTTGTTGGACTACGTCAGTAAGTTTGCTATTGACGGTCGGCGTCTTATTCTCTCCGTCCGTGTCCAGTTCGTCTTCATCTTTTTTAGCAGATCTGGGATCGATGTTTTGGTCTTCGCATTTGGCGGCGCCCTGGCCAGAGAACTCGTGTATGGGTTTGCTGAGTAGGTTATTCACGACTGCGATGCCTACAGTGGGGTTGGCAATGGCGGCCAAGTAGTGGAGCGGATTTCTATTCTGTGAATCGACTGTGTCTATAGGTATTTCCTGTGCGATTAATCTCATAATGGGCAGACTGCCACGAATCGCAGCGAGATGGAGCAGACTGGACTTGGTCTTCTCGTAGCCCCTCGATGGTGGACAGGAGTGTACGAGTTGATGGAAGACGTCAATGCCCTCGACACCCAGGAACAAGTTGACGCACTCTACTTGGTTGCGACATACCGCCACTGACAGGGGTGACCAACCGTTCGAATCCACCTTGTTCAGACATTGCTGGAACTTCTCAGTGTCCTCCTTACACACCTTTCGCAACTTCTTTAACACCTTCGCCAACAAGCTGTGATGTCCTCCCGTCGCACAGTAATGCAAAATATTCCGACCTGACGATTCACACGCCGTCAAATCTGCCCCACAACGCACCGCCTGATCCACTATTTCCACATTCCCCGTAAACGCACCCCCCAACAATGCGTCCAGCAGGATTTTCTCCGTATTCTTCTCCACCGCCATCTCCCCATCATCCACCCGCAACTGACTCAAATACTTCAACTTCTCCTTCGAACATCCTTCGTGGCCCGGATCCAACGTGTGATTCTACATCAACTCGTGAGCTAACATCGTGTCCAGTGTGAGCTATCACCGTGTGCAAAGGCGAAGACAAAGTGTGTGAAAAAGCGGGCGGGATACCAGAATGTCAACAATGGGGTAACAGGCTTCCACCTCTTCATCTGTGCTGCTTGCAAGTATTTCTTTTGCTCCCGGTAACGATCTGGTTATGATCTTTTTCGTGATCTCCCGGCATGGAGATGAGACTGATGGCATCCGTTTTAAAAAATGGGTACCCCCACCCCCGGCCAGCCCGCAGAGCACACAACCACTCGCTCAGCGAATCTAGACTAGACTAGGGAAAAACAAAAGCTTCTACAAAAGGTCTTTTTCCAGTGTGACCTTGACCATGAGACCGGTCCGTCGCAGTTCCTGTAAGTTAGTGTCGAGCAGGCTGACCCAGCGGTAGCCGGGCCGGAGTTTGAGCACGGGTACTGAGTGTCCTGCGGCAATGTCTCCGTTGGACTTGAGTATGAAGCAGACCATGGCCAGTGAGGGGACGAGTACGCGAAACGTGAACTTCTCATTGGACCACATGGTGTTGAAGTAGTGCAGCTTTTGGGTGGTGGTCTTGTAGTAGCACTGGTCTTCTTTGATCCCGTGCACACTGATGTTAATGTGTCCATACTGGTTCGATCCACCACTCCCAGAACTGCCTCCAGAACCTCCCCCGGGAGGTCGGCCTCTGCCGTCGGACTCATGACCACTTTCCTGTCTGTGAAGGTGGTTGCGGTCGTGGCCACGGTCAGGGTGTAGGGCGGCAGCTATGACGCCGTGTTGTTGCTTCAGACTGTCAAGGCGTTGGGTATACTGGTTAATGAGTGTTCCTGGTTTGGCTAATGGCAGCTGTCGGCCGGCCATGACTTCAATGGAGATGAGTAGTGGTTGTTCTTCGGCTTGTTGTAAAATCTCTTTCGTGACATGACGTGAGTCGAAGGGGATAGTTGGATCTCGAAGAATTCGGGGTTTCAAAACATAGCCATTGTCACGGAAGCGACCGTGGTTCAGGAACATACTGATTCCCTTTACCTGGTAGTTTAGAGCCACCATTTGGCATCCCCAATTCCAAGCCGGGATAGGATAATAGTTGCTCGACCATAGCCGAGTACCGGCCGGGAATATGCGAGACAGATACTGCCGATGAAAATCCACCAAGTCCCGAGCCACACCACGACCTGTCGACATCGAGCTCACTCCCGCTGTCAGGGTGGGACTGGCAGCACTCGAGGTTGCAACCGATCCTAAAGAACCTGGCGTAAACAACGTAGCTGATAAAGGCAACATCCCGGTAGATGAGTTAGGTACCAGTCCCACGTTGGCAGTCGACTCCAGATCCAGGTTGGCAGTCGACTTTGGCAGACCACTGGAGTTTGCTAAGGCATTCGCTTTCGTTACGGTACTCGTCTTAGCTGCAGCCACTCGGCTACAGTTATCCGTCGTTACCATGGGCGCGGACGCACTCACAGCAGGTGACGTCAGGTTATCCGACGCTTCTATCTGCTTAATGAAACGTACCATAACACGCTCATTCAATGAAGCCACGTGGTACCGGGTCCGCTCGGGGTCGCTAAAGGTGGTCAGCTTGCGTCCAGGAAGCCCCACACACTGATAGTAGGGAGCCAGATTTATAAGTCCACCAGACTTGGACACGCGTTGCTCTGGCCGTCCGCCAAAAGGGACACCAATCACCAACTCCCCTCCGTAGTCGGGACCAACACCCACCTTCGTAGCACCGGCCCTTCCAGCTCTGTTACCGCCAGTTCTGTTACCACCATCTTCGTTACCGCCAGTTCTGTTACCACCATCTTTGTTACCGCCAGTTCTGTTACCGCCATCTTTGTTACCGCCATCTTTGTTACCGCCATCTTTGTTGCCGCCAGCCCAGATGCTTCCGTTGATGCTATCCCGTATGTCTGTTTCGATGCCACTGGCGGACCAGTGATCGGAGGACGAGCGTCGCGGACCAGCGGCCCTGCGCCAGGGACAAATGAGTCTAGTGGCTAGCGAGTCTGAGCGAGTGGTAAAGCCTTCATCGTCGTGAAAGTTGGTGGACTCGCGTCGTCTACTGCTTCGGCAGCAACGGGAGAGTTCCTGCGACCAGCCGCCTTTGTGGCCGCCGTTTGGGCCCCTCACCGCGCTGCCTTGGTAGTCGGGGGCATCCCAGGCGAGCATGGCAGAAGGCGGTAGGGGTGTGACGAACCCAGGCGGGAATTGGAGGAGATCCAATTGTGCGTTGGGGTCGACGCTGTCTTCAGTACCTTCATCGGCTTCGTCGAGGCTGGAGGGATCGTCAGTTTGCCGAGCGACCTTAGCCTTAACGAGGAACTTGTACTTGAGGTCTTCAGGGCTAAACTGAGAACGACGGATATCGGCCGCGTCTACGAGAGCATCTCCTAGCACGGAACGAAGGATGTGTCCGATCTTGAGTTTCTGCCGCGGTGAACAATGCATTTCGAGAGAGAGGATGATGGGGTAAGGCGAGGTCTGGAAACCATAATCCAGGCAGGCGCGAACAACATCATGGAAGCTAATTTTGCTCGTTAATGTGTGACCGTGATAAATCGTCGGCTGCCCATCCGATCCATCCCAACAGTCTAACTCAACACATCTACAGCCTGATAGTAGCACCGCAATGTACTGGTTCACCGCTGAAGGCCCGTACAATTGGTCCTTTGTCAAGTATGTGTTATGTGACGTCGCGATCCAGTAGTCTGTAAATGGATGTGTCATGTCCGGTCGTGAAGTAAAGCTTGATCGAGACGCTCCAGGTGGGAACATGTAACTGTTGATCCCACGTAGAACGTCTCGCGTGTGCATAGGACCAGATCCCGTATGACCGGAGCCTGAAGGAACGGAGCAGGATGGACCGTAGAGAGCAGATCCGGAGCGCCGGCACAAGGTGATTTGGGTATTTTCTTGAAGGGAATTGTTCCGCGAGCTGGAAGCGAGTCTGTCATGCTGACCAACACCTTCGGTAGGGGGAGTGCCGGCCAACAAACTATTTTCGATCAAAGGTCTGCTTCGTTGCTTGGAGAGCAGACTGATAATGGAGTTGGACTTAGTATTGGACATTATGGTACCCCCGGTAGACAAGACGCTGGTGGATGGCAAGAAGCTACTAGGCAGCAGGCTAGCTCCATCGGGAACGTTTCCGAGTGTAAGAGGCTCGCTGCACGGTCGTGAAACAGCAGGTGGTAGTTCAACTTGGTCCACAAACCTTGAGGGTGCGTGGACGTCATTGAAGTTGGAGACAAGCAAACAGTGGAATCCCACTTCGGTTAACCCATACTTTGGGTGATAAAATGGCATAGCCATGTCCCTGACAGCACGTAGACTGTATTCAATTTCCCGCTGACCCGCATTCTGTACTTCCACCAAGAACTTATAGTAATTGCTTATGGACATGTATCGCACTGGACCAGTCCATGTGGGCGGGACATGGAAGTCGTCCGAGCCGAAGTGTAAATGCCGGTCAGAATGACCACTGCTGGGCTTAACATTCTCCAAGGAAAAATGGTGGCGTCTTCGGTCAGTCGAAGAGTGTTGTGGGCAAAGGCTGGTTTGATGCGCGGGCGTTTGCCGAGCGACGGACAATCCACTCGCCGTGGACCGTTTCCGCCAGTAACTTTTTTCCATACTCTCCACGGCTTCACCAGAAAGCGTTGTCCTTGATTCCCCGGTCTTTGGATCCCGGGTCTTTGGATCCCCGGTCTTTGATTCCCCGGTCTTTGATTCCCGGGTCTTTGATTCCCCGGTCTTTGATTCCCCGGTCCTGTTATCGGAGGGCCGATGCCTTGGTGGAGCATTTTGTGAGGCGATAGTGTTAGAGTATCTGTTGAATAGTTCATTGACTGGTTCCAGTGAAACTAAGACTTGGAAAAGTATCATGAATTCTTGGTAGTAAATATAATCAGGATGTCGAATCGCATATTGATTGAACAAACTGAATATCTCATCCGTCGATGGTTGCAATCCTATTCGTGATAATAAGTTCATAAATTCTTGTCGGCTAATACGATTATCCTGATCCAAGTCCAATAATTCCCAATGATGTCTAACATAGCCAGTTGTAATCTGTATATGATGCATTGAAGCTAGAGCGTATTGATGAGCATATACGAGACCAGCAAACCAGCAACGCCATGACTCCAAATTTGGACATTCGATCTGTAAATTTCGCGGCAATCCAACAATGTCGATCCCATATAAACCACCACCACGATGCTTCCAAAAGTCACTATCCTTACCCGGAATAATTCTGTACACATCCAGCAACGATAACTGACTTATACTACTGCACTTTCGGGGACTTTTCCATCGAATAACTCCTAACTCCGTATCAACATGGAAAAACCGTGGATGTGGCTAAAACACACAAAACCAAATCACAGAACCAAATCGTCGATACCGATCGAATCGTATAACAAGCGTACAAGAAGGTCGATACCGATCGAATCAAAGGTACAAGAAATGCTTACGTGAACAAGTTTTCTCTGAGTATATTTCAGAAGATGCTCCCCTTTCTGGATGTGTTCGACTGCATCGGATAAATCCACTTCTCGAATGTCCGATTTCACCCTCTCAGACATCAGAGCCCATCCAAGCTCGAAAGATAACCGACGAAACAATTTCCCTGAATAGAATGCCAATTATCATTGTAATAACGATCAAGCTACCCTCAACAACGATCAATAACGGGCGGTCAATTAGATGGACGAAGGGCGGTCAATTAGATGGACTAAGGGCGGTCAATTAGATGGACTAAGGGTCGGTCAATTAGA